TTCTGCAGATAACATATGTGATGCTCAACCTTCTCTTTTATATTTAATTACTGTATTATGTGTTTTACTTGCTCTGGTTCCTCACAAAATTGCCTTGCAGATTTTGAAGGTTAAATGAGTTTTCTGTTGTACATGAAAGCTTCTTTGCCTTTTTTTTTTTTATGATAAGGATCCAGTTCTTTTTACACTAAAATGGTCTTGCTTAACGTTTTTGTTGCTCTTTTAGTTAAACAAGCACCATATACCATCTTTTTCTTCAAGCTTTACAGAAAGTATTAAAATAAAACCTGAAACGAAGTAAAAAACTTTACTGTTGTTTTTAGAAATAAGTAATGACCGGTGATCATAAATACAGTAGGGTAAATACTGAAGTCTTTGTGTATAAACCTGTTTGCTTTTCTTCCTTTTACTCTTACAGTTTTAACACTTTGGGTCCCTTGTGTAAACKGAGTATCTTCAGTTACCAAAAATATTTGGGTAAAAAATACTTTAAGGAATTTAACTGCTCCTTAGTTTCAAACCACAAAATTGATTTRTTTGAAAGAKAAGTTTTCCAGCATCAAGAGACAAAGATTGGTCTTTGTTCATTCAAAAGTACGATGTTAACAATCTAAAGAATTACCTAATTTATTTAGTCTGTACTGATTAACTTCGTTCTTGATGGAGACAGCTGCTATTGCATGTGATGACAAATGAAACGCCCTGCTACGCTGCAAAGTTTTCTGCCTAAACTGGCTGGTTTCCTGCTAGTCTCAATGGCCACAGAGAAAATGAAAAACGAAACAGATGAAAGAAAGACTTGTGGTGTTTTTYAGTTTTTTTGCTGTTCTTAAAATTTGAATTCAAATGATCAAGCTGTGTTGATTTGAAAATTGGTGTTTATATTTTATTAATTGTATTKTGTGCAATGACACATGTCTGAACCTACATCAATTAACCAACTTCTTTTTCCAAGATATGAGTGTTGTTTCAATTACCCTTCTGAAATTTTATTTGTGGCGTGCTGTAATTATACCTTGCACATACGTTTTGTAAAGTTTCCCATTGAACTGAGAAACCATGCATTGTGTTCACAAACCCCAGCTTGCCGYGTTTGCTGTTTTAAGCATGCTGTGAAAGCTGGTGCCTTGTGCTCCAAATGTAAATTGGACACGGCTAATTGCACCTACTGGTGAGCACGTTCAGTGAGCGTGGATTTCTGGAGGGAAATGTGCCTCCACTCTAGCTTAGCTAGAGCTTTGAGTCCTCCTTCAGATGTGATTCATTATTAGCAGAGGTAGGCTTCACTGTGAGTGCTTCTTGTGGGAAACCAGAACATTTTGTTCTTTACTTTTTGTTATAAACCCGGAAATGTTCTTCTGTTTTGGATGTAGAATATTTCTGATTACTTTCCGTGCAAAAGTCGTTTTCTGAAACCCAGAGTGATGAAACTTATTCTGAAAGTAAAAGCAATCTCACACTCTTGTGCTGTTTGTAAAGTTCTTCACTCCAGAGAGAGATACTACACCTAATGCAAAGAGAGGCTGCACTTCTGTGGTCAGCTGCAGCTGTTGAGGTAGCGAAGAGGAAGGTTCAAAAAAAGGATGTGGTGCTCTTACTGAAAATTCAGAGTCATTTGTGGATGCCTTGTGGGTGCAGTCATGGGAAATGCATGGGGTATAAACGCAGCAGACATCTGGTGGTGACAAGCTACCAGAGAGGAATTAATAACTGGCTGCACAGAAGGGGCTGTTTTGATTAGATGCAGTATCATTGTTACTCTGCCAAAAAAAAGAGTACTACACCCAGTTTTGAGGAAAGAGAAATTACTAAAAGCAAGTTAGGAGGAAAAGCCAGTTRGTCTTAAAGAAGTAGCTGGTGAGTCGACCACTGAAAAATGCATTGTGGCTTGAAGAAAATACTTAATGAGAGCAAACCTGCATCATAGCAATGAAGAAGTTTCTGTGAAAGTGAAACTGTTTATGAACACCTAAGGCCCAGCCCCCTTAGAACAGTGCTAATACAACACAGCGTAATCTCTGCATCCCATCTAAATCTAACCAACAAAGCATAGCTCTAGAATTGAACACTAAAGAAAAGAGTGAAAATTTCTTAGAAGATGCYTATGATGCTTTGCTGCTTTTCTGATGGGCTACACACTAAGGTCTCAAAGCAGCTTGTGGATGGTGAATGATATCATTTCACACAAAAAGAAGAAATAAACACACACTTTAAATTGCACAACCCAGCAAAAGGAGAGCATGAGAAGAAGCACCTTTTTATATGACAAAACTGCAAGACTTTAATTTACTTGTACAAGCTTTACTTCAGAACTACTATGCTCCTACTTCTTGGATACACAACAAATAGTAAGGCAAAAGACAGAAGAAAGGTTGTTTGAAAATACCTATAACATCAGAGCTCTAAGGCTTGTACTTTACTCTCATTTAGGATAGTTTCATATTGRAAACTATAGAACTCACTGAAAAATAAATACAATTCTCATGCATCACAGAGGAAGACAGATTCTCATGTATCACTTTGCAGGTAAAACACCTTTTTATAAGGACTTGACTTACTGAAACTGTGAAATTGGCGAAGTCAAGATATTAAGGGCTTGTGCTCCTCTTAGGATTAGAGGGAGGAAAAATGTTTTCTGCATAAGTATAAAGTAGTTCAGTATAAAAGAACAAAGTGAACTGTCCCATTGAAAAAACAAGCATCAGTGAGCTAAAGGAATGTTTTCCTGGGATCTCTACYAGGCTTTTCTTCAAGAGATTTCATGCTCAGCTGAATGTTAGAAGCAGATTATCTAGAAACACACTTCACTTCTGCTTACGTATTATATTTCTCTGTTAATAATAGAATATTAAAGCTGTTTTTTTGGTAAGCCAAGGCTTCTGATGTAGCAGTAGCCCACCTCTTGATGTGTCTCTCACGTATTTTAGCAGTTGCAAGTATTTATGTAATACATAATCTTTGGTAACAGAYAGAGGTTGCAGTTAGAAGTGGAGAATTATGTCTAGAGCTATTCAAAGAGATTAGAATTTGCAGTTTGTTTTCAACACTGTTGAATAACATTCAGGGCTGTTTGTTGGTCGGGTTTTTTCGTTGGTTTTAAAACTTTCTGACATATTTAAGCAGATTTTCTGATGTGCTTCTTTACTGAAGTGTCTGCTTTTTCAGCGTATACTTCAGTACAGTGTTGATTTTCACATTATCATGAGCGTGTGCCTGGGACAAGTAAACTGTCTTAAATTTTTATCTTTRCTTGCTGATGTTAAAAGACGAAATGCTTTTGAAGACTATTTTAAAATATGAGTAAACAAGGAACAACGCACATAAAAGGATACACGAGTGTATTTTAATCAGRGTGTGATGGGCACATCATCTCACAGAGTATCCTTGATTTGGAATTCCATCTGCAAATGGCAGTGAAACTGTTCATTTACAAGGCTGATGGTTTTTGCTTTTACTAATGATATGGTCTCATTAACAATTAATGATGGTAGAGCGTATCAGGAAGGGAAAAGTATGATCATTAAAAAGAAAGTGACCCTGTGATGGCAAAATACTTCATTTGTACCAGATAAGGGAATTGTTCCCAYTATGCTTGCTTCTGTAAACAAAATGAGTGGTTAGGATGTTTCTCAKGATCAAGTGCATCTAGGGGAAGCAGCCACTACTGGATTCTCAATTGCATAACCCTAAAGACAGGTGTACAGACCATTAAAGGGACATACCTGGAGTAGCTTTGCAGACAAATGTCTCCAGGGACCTKTTGCTGTGCAGTGTCACAAAGGCCTGACAAAATGTGTAACAGCGGGSTGAATTGATGCTGTCACTTCAGCATGGAGTGATTTTTGAGATTAGACAAGGGACTTAGCTGTATGGAAGTACAGATACTGAAGCATTACACACATCAGTGGCATCAAAAGGCAATCTTGGAATTCTGTTGGCATGAAGTCATAATGACACTTGATACCACATTCATGGGTTGGTGACAAGGTTTTCAATATGACCGTGCAGGATAAACTATGATAACTGGAGTGTTAGTCGTTATTTGGGGCAGTAACAGCRCCTGGCATTAATTCTTAGTGGTACTGGCTCCAGCAAATACATCAAACCWGTCTTTCACTCTAATGTTCTTTAGTACATAAAATAAAGTTCAAGGTTTGGGCTTGAGCCCAGTGTCTCTGATKGCCCTAAGTGCTGGAATAAGAGTAATGTTAAGCAACTTTGTTCCCTTACAGTGAATATACTTAAAAGTAACTATGTAAGAGAGCTTTCTTGGGCACCAAACTGAAAATGAACTCTACAAACCAAAGGTCCACTAGAAACTGGCTTTCTGCTGTAAGACCTTGTCTTCACAAAAAAAACCAAAAACCTCAGTTCAACTGAACGAAAAGCAAGGCACAAGCTGTGTTTTTTCCCTTTAGGAAAAGGGTGGAAGAACTTAAATACTTAAATGGCAGAAGATGGTGCTGGATGTGCAGCTCGGGAAGGAGCAGCTGCCACAGAGGACCCTGCAATATTTCAGTACTGAAGGGAAGGAGCTCCAACATTGTGTCTGTGCCATTGAATTCGACAGGGACATCACTGCCTGCACTGAGACACAGGGCGATAGTCTCACAGTTACTACACAGAAATAAAATTTAAGGCAACATAAAAGTAGAATGGACAGTAGCATTGCAACTTTTTGTCTCCAGTGTGCGGTCTAAACTACCTACCCGGGGCAGCAGCACACTGTGACAATATTTGCCTACTTGTAATAGCGTGACCTACCCGTAATGACAAGGGAAGCGTCCACACAATTTGTCAGACTTTTCCCTGCGGGCTCACCTCGGGCACGGCTGGCCCTGGGCAGGTGTCCCTTATCCCGAGAGGTGGCACCTGAGGGGCGAACAGCGCGGCCAAGGACCCGCTCCCCTCACGATCCTSCCGCTCCCCACAAACAGGAACACCATCCCCAGCCCGCCCGGTTCCACAGCGCCTCAGCCACCGGCCCTGCCACAGCGGCGGCACCGCCCCCCGGCCCTGCGCCACCACGGGCGGGGCCGCGCACGCGTGTCACAGCGCACTGTAAGTCTCCATTTTGTGTTAATTTCCCCCTCCTTTCCTCTCCCTGTCCCCGTTGCGGGTCGTTCCGGCGGCAGGAGCGGGCGGCGGGCGCTGAGGGAGAGCGCYCAGGGCAGCGCTGCCCCCGCTCCCTCAGGCGGGGCGGACTCAGCGCCCGCCGCCCCCTCAGCGCCGCTCGATCCTCCTGTCCCTGCCCGCCCGATATTCAAGCACCCTCGTGGGGACGTTTCGCCCTGATTAAAAGTGTTTTATTTGCCCCTCGTGAGCGCTGCTGTGGCCCCTCGGTGAACGGCAGAAATACGGTGTTAGAGCGGATCCATTAATTCCCACKCCCCAGCAAAACCCAAGGCAGTCATTGCGACAACCACCCCATGCTTGGATCACTGAGACTCCGAGCAGTCGCTTAAATTCAAATTTCTGTGCAAGGCAGTAACGCTTAAAATCACTTTTGATGCTTTACGTGCTTTGTCCAAGTGATGGATCAAGTGCTTTTATACCAGTTTGTAAATGATTTTAGCTGAACATGGGTAGGCTGGGTAGTAATACCATACACGGAGCAAAGGTAGCTGTGTTGTTCTAAGGATACCATGTGTCCAAGGAATAGTTTCGTATTGCAGRTTCCTAGTAAGTCATTCAAGAAATTAATGAAATCAAGATGAACAAAAACAAAAAAAAACCCACTCACTATCCCCTCCCCAAAGTAGTCGTCTTGTTCTTGGTTCTAGACTGGAACCTGAAATGTGMGCTCAATGTTTTCTGCTGAAAGTGGCTTTTGAGACAAAAAAAAAACATCTTAGGTTTAAATTACTTTTGTGGGTAATTAAAAATCTTAAATGATTTAACACTCTTTAAAAGAGGAAAATACAAAGCTCAGTTAAAAGAAGAATTGCCAAAAAATGTCGCCTGTAACCAGTTTTTAAGAAGTATTTGATTTTCAAATGTTGGATGTTGGTGATTCAAGTAAGACATTCCAGAACATGTGCTAAGATCTTAATTTTAAATTGAATCACTGAAATGTCTAATGGAAAAATGGCATTAAATATTTTGCCTTTTTCCTCTGGACAAGATGTCCCATCTCCAATAAATAGCAGGCCCCTGATTTCATAACCTGCTTTCACATTTCCCTTCAAATGCACTTTTAGACATTCTGAGTAGTTTTAAATCTTTGAATGACAACAGAGTACTAATTCTATCTTTAAAAGTTACATTCTATGTGCTGAAAAGAAATTCACACACACATGCGCTGCTTTTTTCCTGTGTTAGSCAGAGTGCTGGTAAAAGCTGAGTTTAGTTTGCTTGTCAATTCCACCACTTACTATTAAACCTTTAGTTTATTTCTTTCAGCTTGTTTATTTTTCTCCCTTGTGAGACATTTGGGCAGAGATGTTGCTAGTTTSAGTCAATGGGAGCTGTTACATTTCCAAGTATAGCACTTCTGATGCAAGTTCTAATTCAATCTCTTCAAAATATAATAATGCTAATTTAATTGGYATTGTAGTATTGAGAAAGCGCAGAAGAATTAAGGCAACAATATGTGAAAGCTGKGGAGTCTACTTGTTTTCATTCACTTATTTATTAAACATTTATTTCATTTGAATCCATTTTTTTCAGATGGTTTTGTTCAGCTTCATATAATTTTGTTTTCTTTGTTACGGTTTACGTCTCAGTCCCAGAGCACAATAAGAAGAGTGTGTTACACAAAGCTTGTAGTAATAGTCGAATATTTTAGTTTTACAGCATTTGAACTCTGTGTTTGCAGTTTCCATTGGCTTTGCTAGTGACCATGTTAATACTTGCTGGGAAAATTGGAGGATGTAGAGATGCTGTTGGAAACAATGGGTCAACTCATATAATGGTGTTGAACATGGGATTATCCACTTGTCTTGCATATTATAACTATRTACCTACTTTACAGGATTTGCCCTTTTATAGTTACAATGTGTAATCCTCTCAAATTCATTTTGTCATCTGTCACATGAATCCTTTTGTGAATTTGCAGTAAATTGAATTACTCRGTTTTATACATGTCAGTCATTCTTTCTTCTCCAGTATCTGCAGCTTCAGTTATGTCAATTACATGTATTTATATTATTTAATGTATTTACAATTTTGTCAGTTTCTGCAAAGGTTAAGAATATTGTCACTTTCCAACTTTTATCAAGATTTGTGTATAGAATGTCTCTAGTGTATATAAACAGCTTCAGACAAATTGGCCATGTTTACTACAGAGGGCCAAATGTTGATATATTGAGTGTCCAGGAAAAATATTGTTGACCTCTGTAGCTCAAATTCTTATGCAAGAATGATTCCAAGATGCAAATTGATTACTTTCAAATATTTTGGTGCTGTGTAGACAGTGTTTTATTTTGTGCATTTAAGATGAAATATCATCCATATTTTCTCCTTATTAAAGTAATGTCTCAAATGCCTTTTTTGACTTCCTATAGATTTTTTTTCTCACTTAGATTTAAGTTATTCTTACAGGGCTACATGGTTTTGTTGCTTTGTTATTTCCATAAGCTCTAGGGGGAGATGGACGCTTTAAAGAAAGTCTTAATAAATTATGTTCATTCTTCTTGTCTTTCTCTACTCCACCAGTAATTTATCAAATGAAAATTTCTTAGATGTGTTTGGTGCAGTGTGTTCCTTATGCATCCTTGTAGTTTATAACTCATGTTTTCTGAGTGGAGTGTTCAAATGTGTATGTAATTGTATTTTTTTCTTTGCTTGTTTGGTTTTTATATATWTATTTTTAAGGCCTAACCAAATCTTGGCTTGTTTTATTTGCTGATAAAAATGCCTGTTAGGTTCCTTTGGGAACCAGGGAAAGAAATATGATCATCCCTAAGGGATAATTCTGAGTATCCATGGTAAATACTTAATGTCAGAATTTGACGCCTTTCACTTTTGAGTGTTTTTGTAGWGAAGGAATTAATTCTTCACATAATAATGGGCACGCAAACTAAGGATTAAATTGTGTTGTATGAGAAAAGCAGCTTCGCAGTCAGCATTTAGAAAGCTTTAATGGTACAAATGAAACTTGCATTAGTTGAGTGTGATTTCYACTGGAAAGGGCTGGATCTGGTACTGGTTATGACTAATCTGTCACCCTCTGTGCCCATACAGTGTTATTGGGGACTGTGCAGTTTGATTTCACTTGTTCTCTCAAAAGCTGATCAGTGACTCAGCTGTTGAAACAGTTTGTGCAGAAGCCCTTAATTAAGACTAATTCCTCCTCCCTCCCTTAAATTCCAAGATGGTCTGTTAATTATATTCCTGCAAGGAACAGATTGGAAAATGTTGGAAGAGCTCTCCTTCCCCAGTGCTTAGATTGTGAGGGGGAATCCCGTGCTCTGAAAGACCCCTAAGGGGAGGTTCCTCAGATTAATCCCTGAGGGGGATGTGTCACTGAGGGAGGGCTGAGGGTGCCTGCAGAGGGGAGCAGGTGTTTGCATAGGTCCCTGCAGATTTTTGTGGTAACAGCGTAGAATTTTTCAAATTTTTTAAAGGCCTACTCCTTTTGGAAGTGGTGTAGCTATTCTAGTAGCAAACTTGAAAAATTATAAGACATCTTGGGGAGAAAAAAGCTGGTTTTAACCTTTTGGACAATACTAAGAAAAATGTCCTAATTATGAGATGCAAAGAGACCCTTTTATTTTATTCAGACTACATTCTTCTCCTCTCATCAATTTGCACTGCAATACTGAATATTCCCAGTATAACTCATCAGATCTGCCTTGTAACACATAACAACAGCTGCATTRTCTGCTTCACATTTCTAGATACTCCAAAGTACAGATTTTACGGTATTGGCACTGCAGTGATGCCTGTTACTTTATCAAAATGATGCTTTTGGCTTACTGCATGAATAATCAAAAACATTTATATCAATTCTTCTGAATGTAAATGTTTTTTAKCATTAATGTTTGCAGAGATTTAGCAAGATCTCAAGTCACTAAAAATCTGATGTGTCTGGTAGGTATTGGCCTTGGCAGGTGTTTTGTTGTTCAGAAGTCATTGCACACTGACTTGCTGGAATGCTTGATATATGTCATTTAATTTGTTTTCAAAATTATGCCTGAAATGTTAAAGAATAAGGCTTTAAATTGGCATAGTACCGATGCTTGGCACTAAGTATGCATATTATTTATCCTTTTCAGTGTTATTATGCAAATACTGAAAATTAAGTACCTTCTAAACTGTTTTGCTGGATCTGTGCACGAGTCTTAACTGAGAACTAAGAGATAATGAAGGTCTGCTAGAAAGCAGTAGGTAACACATGAGGCTCAAATTTGCATTTAGCTGGCATTAGGGCTGAACATCAGTGTTCTTTTAGTAAAAATAATATAATGATTTCCTAAACTGGTAGGAAGTAAAGTATTTCATAGGGACTTTGGATTWTGAAATAGCTTTTAAATAGCATTAATGAAGTAATATTATTCTGAATGGTCACTAAAATGAAAATGTGCTTGGTTTTGTTGTTTTCGATTGTCACTATTTTGCCCATTTTGATGCTTTATTTGACTTTTACTACCTTCCTGATACTCCCATATACAAAAAAAAAATTAATTTTGTATGCTTTATCCATGATCTTTCTGGTATTTCCATGAATCAAACCCACTAGCTTCATTACTTGCTTATTTAATATACAGTAGCAGAGCAACCAAGCTGACAGTCTTTAGATCCCTCTGTGAAAGGACTTTGAAATTATGCTTGCAGAGAAATGTGTGTCTCCTTTTTATTTCTTGTGCTAGGAATCTCCTAATGATTTCAGGCTTTCAGTCTCTTTTTAGTGCATGTTGTGTTATTAAATATTTAACAATTATATGGTTGTGATGAATCCTATTTCAGAATAGCAAAATTTAGTTCATTGCAGAGAARTTTTCAGGTGAAATTTGTCTTTAAAACATTCAATATTAGAAGGACGGGGGCAAGGACAGAAGGAGGCTTGCCTAAATCTAAAGTTTATGAGTCTCTTAAGTATTTTTTTGATTAGGCAGACA